AGAACATTATTACCTTTATCTGTCTCTCCTCTTCCAGTAGGTAAGTCTGAAGGCTTATAACGCTAAATACTGTGTTTTGATAGCCCATTATGTAGCTGCATGCTTACAACAAAGAAAGAAACTCGAACTGGTGTATTTAAGTGTTTTACCCTCACAAAAAAAAACCTTTCATTCTACACGTATTTGAAGAACTTGTAGCATTTCGTCATAATTTAATTCTTCGTATTGTTAGCCGACACAAGGCAGCTTGTAAATAATCGAAACTACATAATGGGATATCTGTTCTCTGCTACCACGGGTATCGAAATCCAATTCATAGTGTTATAAACATTCAGACTTATCGCTGAGTGAACCGCGGGGAGGGGGGGTGATTTGTGTGGAGCAAAATTTTAGGCTCTCTCTAAGTTTTTCTGCTCAGTTCTGCTGAGTTTGCTTTTTTCTTTGTCTCATTCTTTCAATATATCTTTCTCAGGCCTGGAGTGTTTTAGAAGTTAAAATGACAGTTGCCAAAAATTGCGCTCCGCACTTTGGAGCCGTAGGAGCATTATAAAAGTGACAGTCATATCCCACTATTCTACTAGAATAGCCCAAGAGTTTGGAATGAGTGTTTTTGACTAGTTGCCTTCCCTCTAGGCTGTGGCCTGGCATTGGTCAGGTGGTTAGGGAGTTGACTTGCGATCTGAGGGTCGCGGGGTCGAATCCCTGTTCCACTAAACATTCTCGCTCTTTCAGCCGTGGAGGCGTTATAATGTTATGGTCAATCTCACTATTCGTTGGTAAAAAGAGTAGTGCAAGAGTTGGTAGTGGGTGGTGTTGACTAGCTGCCTTCCCTCTAGCCTTTCACTGCAAAATTATGGACGGCTAGCGCAGATAGCCCTCGTGTAGCTTTGCGCGAAATTCAAAACAAACCAAACCCTCTAGTGTATGCGTTCAAAATTAGAGACTGGCTATGCACGGGTAGCCCTTGTGAAACTTTGTGCAAATATCCCAAACAAAAAAAAACAATTTATTTTATTCGTCTCTCTAAGTCATCGCTTAGAAAATAAACAACAAAGATACATCGTTTTTGTTTCGAACCATTTTGATGTATAAACTTCAAACTACTTTATTGAATGTCTTTCAAAGTAAGGCTTTTATGGTTTGAGTTTGAAGATAAAGTAAAGTCTTGAACTCAGTATTTTTTGAAATATTCTATTTATCATTAATCGTATTTTTACAAATCTATTTTAAACGAAGGTTTTCAAGTAAAACACAAAACACAAACATACTTAGCATTATAACAGGAAATAAGCAACTTCTATAAAACATTTTTTAATTACTGAAAAGACATGAAAATGTTTTTTAAAAAAACTCTAAAGCACGTGAGGAAAATGTATACGTAATATACGAAAAAATATTACGGTTTAGATAAAGCATGAAATATAGTTTACCCCTGTTCTTCACGAATAGTGACTGCTGTGTTTCATCTATACCTGCTTCTTTTTCTAAAAGCCCATCATTCATATTTTGGAGGCCAGTAAAAGAAAACTGCCTCAAAACACAGGCCTATTTCTCCAACTATACAAAAACATGGTAATTTATGACTTCACTTATTAAAGTTATAATAATTTCGGCGACCTGAAGTATATTTTATTTATTTCTTTTTGTGGAATAACAAGCATTTCTTTTTGCTGCTACAACTAGGAGTTCATCTGTAAGATTGCAGGTTATTTTTGCGAGAGTATTCAAACTGTCAAAATAAATTTGCGTCATATATTTTAACGATTCATTTTCCTTATTATAATAAGAGTGTTAAAAATATAAAGTGTCATAAAATAGCATCACGTGTGCTCTTAGTTGTTTCCAGATCATATTCTTATCATCAAGATAATAAACGCTTGTTATATTATAAATGGTATGTGTTCTGAACCTCCTTAAAGGTATTAACAGAAACAACCAGAAACTTCCCTAGTATTTGCGTGGCTCGTTAATTTTTTCTATCACATTTTTACATTGAAGGATAAAATGGTATACATATTAAGAGTGAAAACGTGTTTGCCAGATCATCGTGGTAGATAACAAATAACGTGTATATGTTTTTTATTTAATTTGTGCACTTATACAGTGTTATAAGTGTACTTCTTATGTTTACCGATCAAACTGACTTAGCATGGCCTGGTGGTTAGGGTACTCGACTCGCAATCTCCGGGTAGCTGGTTCCAATCCCTGTTGCACCGAATGCGCTCGCCCTTTCAGCCGTGGGGAGTTATAAAGTTTCGTTCAATCTCATTATTCGTTGGTAAAATAGTAGTCCAAGAGTTGGCGGTGGGTGGTGTTGACTAGCTGCGTTCCCCACTAGCACTAGTCTATCACTGCTAAATTAGAGACGGCTAGCGCAAATAGCCCTCGTGTAGCTTTGCGCGAAATTCAAAACAAACCGATGGAACGTGCTTTAGTAGTTACAAGTTTAATAATATTGGCCTAGTTTACCTTACAAGTGTTTTTTGTAAATGAATCAGTTTGCTCATGGTTACAAAAGTGTGTACAGTGTAAAAGTTGAATTAGTTTACAAAAAAGTCAACCGTTTGAAACTTATTTACAGACACTTACGTGAGACTGCCTTAAAAAACAAAAAAAAAACGAGTCTCTCGATGAGTCAGCGGTAAGTTTACATACTTGCAACGCTAAAATCTGGTGTTCGATTCCTGTTGTGGACAAAGCGTAGAAAGCCCATTCTGTAGCTTTGAGCTAAAGGAAACAAAACCTTAAAAACTGTTATGTTAATGTTATTTTCTCAACATTATGTTCATCGTGTAAATGATATATAGGTATTAAGATAAGGAAGTTTAAGGTTAGTTTACCCGTAGTGGACAGAGCACAGATAGCCCATTGTGGAGCTTTGGGCTTAATTTAAAACAAACAATTAAGGTTAGTTTTAATACTAAACTTCATATAGAGTTTACAGCGTCACGTTGATATGAAGTAAATGAAGTAACTAATTACTGTTATTAGTATTAATGACCACCACTGTTTTATATATTATGGCTCTAGAAGTCACAAAGACAATAAAAACTGTAAAAAGTACACTTGAGAATATGAAATAACTGGAGTTTGAGAAGTTATGAATTAAAGCGCAGCTTATTTTAAAACCATAACCTAATGAATGTGATGCTGTATTTTAGAATAACTTTCGTATATGTTAAGAACAACATTTTGTTATATAAAGCATTTCTGAATCTTTGTGGGGATTTTAGTTTTAAGATTAAGGTGGAGAAAACAAACTTTGTCTTTAAGTTTTACTTGCAGGATAATCGCTAAGTTGAATATGAACAAAAAAATAAATTGTAACTTTTGAGTTGTTTGAAGGAGTTTTATTTCCCTAATTAAAGTTAGCCTGGAAGGGATAAGGTGTTGTGGTTTAGTGCTCAAACTAACAATGTGCTTGCTGCCTCAGTTTTAAGTCTGGGTTTCAAGCGTCGATTTCATCTAAAAGCAGCTGAGCTTTGGCGTGGCCCATGTTTCGCGTCCCGATGTCGTAAAAAATAATCAGGCCTCGCATTTTGGAGCTTTTGGGTTTCTTATTAAGTCTGGCGGTCAAATATCACTATTTGCTTAAAGTAATCCAAAAGTTGGCAATGGATGCTGTTGATTAGCTGTCTTCCAGTTCAAAATTAGGGACACGACTAATGAAGCTAACCCTAGTGTGGTTTTGCAAAAACAAAATCAACTGAAACCAGAAATCATCTGTGTAAAGCTTCAAGATGTGTGTTTTATAGTTATAATATGCTTGGCATTTTGCCAGAGGTTTTTAGATGCAATTTTCCTTGCCAGCGTAATACTACTGTTTGAGATTGTGGTTGAACTTGATTGTCGTGTGCTGGTTTGAGTACCGAAACTAGAAAAATTATAGATATGACATATGCATGCATGGCGCTCAGTACGAGTTATATTTAGCACAAGCCACTTGTTTCCTGGTGAGCCAGCGGTAAGTTTAAGAATTCACAAAGCTAAAATCCGGGGTCTGATTCCCCAATATGAGAGCCAATTATGTAGCTTTGCACTAAGAAAAAAACAGAACAACATCATAAGCTAGCAACTTTAACTTTATACTAATTTTCACTAAACGTTTACAGATCGTTTTATTTTCAGACTCCGTATTTTTGATTTCTCATTCTATTCTCTGTCATTGATTTCTATCTTAATTGAAAAAAAAAGAACTATCGTGTCTTTTAAGAATATTCCAGGATATATTTGACGGAAAAACTATATGTGCTTTGGAAATTATATGCTATTTTAAGTAATTATTTTGGATAATAACACTTGAGCACTATTTCGAATTAATCTATACTTATGCAAAAGTGAAGTATCTTACTTGATTTTAAGTTCACACGTATTAAAAGATGTGTTTGGAGGTGTGTTTATATCGAGCTTTGGGCAGCTTAAGTTGCCTTTAAAGATACGAAAAAATGCTAGATCACACACACACACACACACACACATATATATATATGAATATATATAATTTAAGTGGTTAAAATCAGTCACTTTTTCTTTTGAGAAAACTTTAGGTCAAGTTGTACTAGAGTTTTTAATTCGCTAAGCACAAAGCAGTACAATGGGCTCTCTGTACTAACCACAAGCATCTAAGCCTAAAGTTTAGCTGTATAAACGACTAGGGTATACACTGCTGTTTTAAGCTCAAATGTTATCAAGTAAATCACAGAGTGAATGATATTTCACGAACATTTGTTTTCTCAACAATAAGAAAAGAAAACATTGTCATAATCGGGTTCTAGAAACTCCAGCTTTTCACATCTCTATGAATATGATTTGCTCACACTCTATACTAATTTTCACTAAACCTTTACAGATCGTTTCATTTTCATTCTATTCTATGTCATTGGTTTCTATCTTAATTAAAAAAAAAACTATCGTGTCTTTTAAGAATATTCCAGGATATATTTTATGGAAAAACTATATGTGGTTTGAAAATTATATGCTATTTTTCTTTCAATTTACAGCAACGAACGACCTCTCTCGCCGAAAATGATTAACCAACAAGATATGGAAATTCCATTGTATTCTTCCCAGGTGTGTTTAGTGTCTCAGTTGGGAAAACGTTATTAGAAATAAAAGTTTACTTATTCATTAGCTTGTATATCTCAAAAATTTTATAAATAAGTAAAAAGAAATTCTCACATGTAAGTTATCTTTGCAAAACTAATGTAAATATACCTTTTTACAAAACTAATGTACATATACCTTTTACAAAACTAATGTAAATATACCTTTTTGGAAAACTAATGTAAATATACCTTTTCACAAAACTAATGTACATATACCTTTTACAAAACTTATGTAAATATACCTTTTTACAAAAGTAATGTAAATATACCTTTTCACAAAACTAATGTAACTATATGTTTTTGCAATATTAATGTAAATATACCTTTTTACAAAACTAATGTAAATATACCTTTTTACAGTATTAAAATATTGCAGTTTTTACGTTGACTATATGTAAGTGCAAGTGGTCGTAATTTCTAGTTTAGAGCTTATAACAAATAATGGTGGAATGAAAAGCATCACTGACACTGATACACCATTATAAGTTTTAGTCAATTAATTTACTTGCCTTTGTAAAAACTCTGTAGCCTGTGTATACACAGGTTAAACGTCCTGAACCTGTTGTTGCAAATCAGTTGTAATGTTGATGTTGCCAAAACTGGACCCTTCTACGATGGTTAATGATTAATATTAACTTGCGATCAGAGCAAGATATGTAAGTAGAGCGAAACTAAAAATCAACCTGGCAATCAGTATGGCTAATCAAATACACCCTCTGTACGTTTCTACTTATAAAAATCAGAATGCATTTTTTCATGAGTTGGGATACCCTCGCTGTTAACGATGTTTTCGTCCTTAATTTTAACAATATATCACGAGATTCGTTCAGCTAAGAAATTTCAGGTTAGTTTCAAATATGTATATTAAGTTAACAATGAAAAGCAATCTTTATAATAAATATATTTAAAAAAATAGATGAAAATAAAAAGTAATTACATTGTATATATTAATTAGTGTTAATGAAATTATCAATATATGTAAATAGCATAGTATACTTTATTTAGAGAACACAGAAACACTAGCTGTTGGTTTGAACTGCCGTCGTTACATTACAGGACTTTCAGCGCGAAGATATACTGCAATAGGAGAAAATTAATATCTGTAGTGCTTGGTAAATTAAAGGAAGTCATAGTTAAACAGGACTAACCAATAGCATATTGGAAGTAGCGAAGAAAGTTAAGTAAATGGATGTAACGTACCTATTAATGCATCAATCACTTAAGAATTTGAATGTAAATCTCTATTGTTTCTCAGATCTGTAAAGATCAACATGTTACAAATAGTTAGCTGGAGTCAAATTATCACAAAGAGAAATATTTATTGGATGCATCACTGTAATATGAATGCTCCAGAAATTTTAGCTACCACACTCAAATCCAAATACCTTATGAGTAATATGCTAAAGAAATGAAAGACCGATAAACCTTCTTATGGTATTATCAGTATAACGGCCGCAGATTACTCACTTTTATAGCATTCCAAGCTTTGAAACGTTTTATAAAACTAAATTGTTCATCTGATATTAAATCCAACACTATGGACCTTAATTCTGGATCTTGCAGCCCAGAAAACACACGTGAAAGTCGTGGATATTGCTTTAAGTGTTAAAGTTAGAGTGAAGAGCAGTAGAAAACTATCCTGTAGAGCGTATCCCAGTACTCATTGCGTCTATCAACTGAACAGGCTTAGATTTCACGGCAAAATGGTTGATGTTTTGTATATGGCTGTGAATAGTGGTGGGACTTTATCAGAGTATAGGCTTACTTTAATTTATTTGGATGTGGTCAACTGATAATTTAAGAAAGCCATAAATGTGTCTTCTTATTATGTAATTATGGCTCATTATTATTATTTATATTCGTAGAAAGTTGCGTGCAAAGACTATACTACATTCATAGTGATAATACTCTGGCATATCCCACGTCTGCATTAGTTTGAGACCAATAACGTCTAGAATTTGTCTATGGCTGATCTGAATTCAGCTCAAATACACTAGGATGTTTAGAAACGTTAACTGAGATTCGAAGAGAATGGCCATTGACATTTCACAAAAGCAGCAGTTACATGTTTCCATGAGGTATGCGCCAGAAGTTTGTGACAAATGTTGGTAGGAGAGTCAGAGCTGTGGTTGACTCCAGGAGTAAGCATACTCGATATTAACATGATAAATAAGCAGTTAAGTACAGCGCCCCCTACTAAAAGTGGCATATAATATATAGATGTGATTGTAAACAGTTTTTAGAATCAGTCAATCGTTGATCTGATAGTTCTGAACAAAACGTTCGCCAGGCTTTACTGGTGATTTTAATTCGCTGTTTTTTTTTAAACTCTAACTATATTCTTTTATTCATATTTCTTGTAGCTTTTAATATTTCATCAAATATTAATAAGAAAAGTAAAGAACTGGTGATTTTTCATTGACTCATTGACTTTTTCATTTTAACTTGTGACTTTTTGCTTTCGTGTGGGTATGTTTTATGGTTTCTGGTTCAATCACTAATGAACATAATTATTTCTGAAATAAGGAAATTATACTGATTAATTAGATTCCCTTTTGGTTACAGTACCTACCTAACGACCAGTATATTGCACTTGGTGACATAGACATGGGGAGGCAGTATGCGCTCGACGATATGTTACACAGTGCTCTGGGTTTTGGTGAAGGAATCACACCAAGTTTCAACCATAATGCAAACACACCATCCACAGAAAACCAGCTAACACTACTGGACGGTAAGAAACAACTTTTACTTTCCTTTCACTACGGTTTAGTTATTAATTTTTTCTTTTATTTCTTTGCGGTAAAAATATTTTTATAATGTTTAAGGACAAAAGGTCAATATGAAAAACATTTTTTGTAGTTCGAATATCTCGATTCGTTTGCCATATTTTTGTTGTACCATACCAGCCATCTCTTCTTATCACAGATGGTCTTTTACTACTGCAGGTATAAGTTTTAAATAAACTCTTTCCAATAAGCCTAGTAATTACATTAAACAATCAAACTGAAAAAAAAGATAATAAAATGTGACCTCTTATTTATCAGATTCGTTCTTATGTTGATGAACGAACTACATAATCAGTACACGTATAATACCTACATACCTTCAGAACATGTATAATATGTACTAGCTAACAATATATGTATAATGCGTACCATCCCCCAATACATATATAATATCTACCGGCTCTCGGTATGTGTATTATACTTGCTTATTAGGTTTCGTCATATATATATATATGTAATACCCACTAGTCCACAGTAAATAGGAAACATCCACCAGTCTTCAATAGATGTTAAAGTTAATCATTAAATTAATTTATTTTCTAATTTTATATCTACAACTGCTGGCAAAGCCGCTTGTTCTAGACTGATAAGGTAAGGTATATATGTTGCTGAATGAGAAATGGCACAGCGGTATATCTGCGAACTTACAACGCTAGAATACGGGTTTCGATACCCGTGGTGGGCAGAGCACAGATAGCCCATTGTGTAGCTTTGTGCTTAATTACAAACAAACAAACTATTCAAACTTCAACCTGATAATAATATTTTATGGCTGTGAACAACAGCTACAAAGTTGCTCATGATAGTAAAAGACTATTAAAGTGTGAAAAGGGTTGGTAATCACCCTGAGAACAAACTCTAGCGCTCTCTACAGATGGACCTGTTTTCATCACGAAGAAAGGTCATTGTACTTGTTGAAAGTACTAGAACTTTACAATTCTTTTCAATGTGAATTAAAAGTTCGTGTATCCGTTTCAAGAGAATTTTACACACCACTGTTATCAGACTTAGCGACCAACTAGACACAGAAACAAGCAATCATTGTTTAGTTGACCTGTGTGTGTATATGTGAGTACATACATATTTAACGTGCACGCCATAAAATATGCATAAGATGTTAATAATGCTAAACAATCTGAGCGACAGATTTCTTTCAGTTGTCAGATTCTGAAATCAAACTTCTCTCAGTTGTCACTTTTGAATATCAGACTTCTCTCAGTTGTCACATTTGAATATCAGACTTCTCTCAGTTGTCAGATTCTGAATATCAGACTTTTCTCAGTTGTCAGATTCTGAATATCAAACTCATCTCAGTTGTCACGTTTTGAATATCAGATTTCTCTCAGTTGTCAGATTCTGAACATCAGACTTGTCTCAATGATCAGATTTCTCCCAGTTGTTAGACTCTGAACATCAGACTTCTCTCAGTTGTCAGATTCTGAACATCAGACTTCTCTCAGTTGTCAAATTCTGAATATCAGACTTCGCTCAGTTATCAGATTTCTCTCCGTTGTCAGATTCTGGACATCTACTTCTTTCAGTTGTCAGATTCTGAATATCAGACTTCTCTCAGTTGTCAGATTCTGAACATCAGACTTCTCTCAGTTATCAGATTTCTCTCAGTTGTCAGATTTTGAACATCAGACTTATCTCAGTTGTTGCATCGGTTTATTAAATTATTGGCTACAGTTTTTTTCACTGTTGTTGAAATGATCCCGAAAAACACGGGTTTAAATTATCATCACTAATGTAATAGAACAATGGTATCATTACAGAAAATATATCGTAAAAACACTGTACTAAAATTGTAGCTGAAGCTGTAATACGCATGGAAAGATGTTTGGATTTTCAATCTGAACGGCACCATATGCGAGACATGGGCTAAGGTTCAGGCGCAGTTGTTTCTAAATTTAGAACTGCATACTAGAGGGAGAACGACAGGTCAGCAATACTCACCACCTTCAGCGGGATTGACTGTCACTTTTATAAGGCGCCAATAGTTAAAGTGTAGAGCATGTTTAGAGGCATATTTCTTGGTCATTCTGATCCAGAGCTCCACACGCTAACCACTTGGTCACATCCAGTATACCCATGTAAAAGAGTCTAACACCAAGAAGTAATAGTTTTCACAAATGTTGGAATCATCCAAACTACATATTCTAACGAAATAAGTTCCATATATTAAAATCCAGTGGTCAGAATTACCGAATAAATTTTTTCTATTAAGTTCATACTTTCATGGTTAACTACAGGTCTTGCCTCGCAATTTGAGGGTCACGGGTTCCCTCTAATCTTTCACTGCTAAATTAGGGACGACTAGCGCAAATAGCCCTCGTGTAGCTTTGCGCGAAATTCAAAAGAAACAATCATATGGTGTTACAATGGAAGGAAGAGGTCCTTTAAATAGGAGGAATAGGTCTTTTGTACCTGACCTTCCCAGGTCTGTTAAGACCAAAATTCCGATCACGAAACTGAGCAAACATTTATTGTTAGTTACAGGCCTACCAGAAAACTAAGATACCTTAGTTTTCTGGTAGACTTGTAACTAACAATGAATTCAACACTGAATGATAATTTTCCGGCAGACCTGTTACTAACAATAATTGTTTTTAAACCGTAACTGTGCGGTCGATCTGTAACTAACTATTAATGTCAACAGACCTTAGTTTTCTGGTAGACTTGTAACTAACAATGAATTCAACACTGAATGATAATTTTCCGGCAGACCTGTTACTAACAATAATTGTTTTTAAACCGTAACTGTGCGGTCGATCTGTAACTAACTATTAATGTCAACAGGTGCAGACATTTGTGGTTACTTACAGATTATCCGGAATTTGTGTACTTGTAAAAAAACAACAACAGTAAAAACGGTTACATCTTTCTCCATATCTGGGTGCACCTCATGTTTGTAATAATATTTAGCGTAAACATTGTTACTTTCAACGCTTCACACAAACAATTCATATAATTATTTCTTGAAAAATGGACTTCTTTATGTTAGTATATATAAAACAGGAATGCATTATTTGTAATCTAAACCAATATTTGACAAAATTCTGTATGTGTGACCCACTTACAACTGGCAAGCCGCTGGACCAATTGTCACCACACCTTGTATGTACCCATAGAACCCCTATGAAGTGACATATGAGGTGTGTCTGCACTGTGATATGCCCCTCGCTCCTACATCATGTCACAGGGACCCATATGTCTTCTCACTATGTTAAAAGAGTACGTCACATTTATATATAACAAGCTAAAATACCCATCCTTTTTCTGTGTTATGAACTTAAAAAAATGTGGAGGTGGATGCTATGCTAAATAACACAAACATCCCATCTTTCACGCAATATATTTACAACATATTATTACGGTATTCATTATTACCTCAACAAAACTTTTTATGAGCTTTAATAACTCAGTATGAATATATCTAAAACATGATGTACACTGTGTGATGGTCAGGGTAACTTTGTAGGAAAGAGGTAGTTGCCAAAGTCGTGGCTGTAGGGGTGCTTTCTGTTACCCGCTTTCAACGCCCACCTCTTAATGTCCTTCCACAATGTTTCACGTGATTAATTAATCGACGCTCATTGGCCGCAGTAGTTTCTTACAGACCGAAGTTGTAAGGTCACGGGTCGAAGTAGGAATTGGGTATAATTCAAAAAATGACTCTTCATATCAGCCTTATGGTGGCTGTTGGAGGAGAAACTTCAGCTATGTTTATGTATTATTTCAATAGCGGTGGCCTTTTCGTCATTGCATTTCTCCGTAGAGAGTGCGATAGCACTCTCTAAGGTATATAGGACGTTCATGTGTCCTACCCCACACTGTATGTATGTTGTGTTGTAGAAAAGTTAATAAAGTTTTCGTGTAAGGACGAGGCATCATCTATGAATGTAGTTTACGTTTACTTACGTCAAATATAATAAATGACCAATAGCAATAATAATGGGGAGTGGATGGTTGGGGAACACTTTTAACATGCCCCTTGTTCCAAACTATCATCCCACAAAGTCTGGTTGAGATTAGCCCAGCGACCTAGGAGTAGTTAGACAACGAACAAAGAGACACAAAGATTTTTATGCATTATAGATATAGATATAAGGAAACGAGGAATAGTAATTTTAATATTTATTTTCAATATATTAAAGACGAAAGTAATTACACATGATAACTTGTAGTAAATTGTTTGTCGTCAGAGGCACTTTTGTGTACATTATGTGCTTTATCACATGGGAGATGATCAATATGCAAAATAGATCTAAAAATCGAGAATGTATGTGTACACAAATTAGTTACTTAAAATAACCCTAGTGTGACATGATATACGTGCAATGGAAGTCAGATGCTACTTCTCCTATTAGCTACACACGGTCATCAAAACTTTATTTTTTTCTTTCTCAAAAAGTTGTTAGCTTTATGGAGTGTCCTTTTTTCTTGACGTAGCCAAATAAATAATTTTCGTAATGGCAACCATGACGATTACCATAATTTTTCTGAAAACCTTTAAATTCCACATTAACACTTTGCATAAGAACAGTTTCAAAAACAATATTTACTATTGACAATTTAATAATGATTCCAACTAATGATTATTGCGATATATGAATAATAATTACTCAAACGTATCAACTAATTAGTATACCTGTAAAGATCTTACAACACGACAACATAAATTAGGTCAAGAAAATGCTTCTGTGCAAATCAAACAACAGGATTATGCCCATCATCATATCAAAGTAGGCTTAACACACGTTGAAAGTACTAAATAGAGATTTGCACTCGCTTAATTAAACATTGAAAAGATCCACTGGTAATGTATCTATATGAAATAAGTTTTATCGATAAATATGTTTGTGGAATTGGCTTTTACTGGCTTGAATAGCTGAATAAATAAATAATCTTAGATAATTCGTTTAACTAAGTATTAATATTTATTAATTACGTTAGCTGTGAAAATAAATATTCTTTCTTGACATATTTAACTGTTTTAATGAAATTTTAGTTATCCTACATACGCATTTCTCGTACTTTTAAAATTTCACTTCTATTCTAAGAAATTTTAATCTATATTAGATCTAGTTTTGGAGGACATCATGACAGAGATGTCTTTCAAAAATAAGCCCGTGCACGAATGGAATCAATATGACGTCATCGAATGGGTTCACTGGTGGGCTGCCGAAAAGAAAGTGGAGACTATAGCAGTAAACATCCCGGCTTTTACAACCCTTTGTGGGAAAGACTTAACAAAAATGAGACCTTATGATTTCCTGCAGTTAGATTCCCAATATGGCGAAAGGATATACGAGTCTTTACAGTTTTACATTCATTACCACCATGTTGGTAAGTGTTCTGCTTAACAGCGATGTACGTATAACATTTAAAATTCTTTGAAGTAATATATTAAAACAAAAGATAAACATTAAACCGTTAAAGGTTGTACATCAAACTTAATTATAATAAAAAAATATCGCCGTTTCTGTCTTAATAGATATTTCAGAAAAACGCAGATGATTCCATGACTTAAAATTAACATTTGTTTTCATGACATAAATCTACCTAAATCTGATTGCTACTTTTTAAACATATCGTTAGATCGCATGACTTAGATGCTTACCTTTAAGTAATGTGCATAACTTGTTAATAATGAGCGTGATTTGCCTTTAGATCTACTGTTCTTTTAATGATCCTGATTAAAGTGTGCTGAAGATGGTAATGTCTCTGTAATGTTGTTCATTATTATGTATTACTTATAGAGATGTATCATAGTGACATTACAGGAAATTACTAACAGTGTAATATATAAAATGGGTTGTTATGCACGGTGCTAACTGACCTATGAGTTTATTTTTATACTGAAAATACAACTACAACTGAATTACTGATCATAATAATGTTTAAATTTAGAAAAAACAGTTTATTATTAAAACGTATTTTACTGTTCGTGTTATTCCAGAATGGCACGATAATATAATGCCCCTTGGATCATTTGGCCAAAATCAGCACCAGGTACCTTCTTTGACAGGTCAAGGGTCAGAACCTTGGCAACACATTCTGAACCACGATGTTCCAGGAAAAAGTCCATATTCAGGCACAGGTGCATATTTTTAGTTTACTACTTTTACAAGACTAGTATTTGCAATGATTCAAAGAGTAGCAGAAAGCGGCAGACATAGTATAGTATGGTTCTTATTTGTTCAAAAAGTTGTTAAAGTTATTATATATATATATATATATATTTATTATATTTGAATTGTGTTTACAATTGGAAACTGATAAAAAGTAGTTAAATTCTTTAAACTATAGTGATAAGGAGGAACAAAGTGTAATGATTAAAATTATTTAGTTTTAAATTCAGTGTACTTTGAATAACAGATATACATAATTTCCATATATTAAACAGGCCTATGATGGTTTAATTGTTTTGAAATGTTTACATGTTCTACAGTAATTCCTGTACGCTGAATCCATCAAGTACAGATTTTTTTCCAAACGTCATAACGCAATACATAAAATAAAGACCAGAACACGTAGTTTTGAGACTAAAAGAAGTAGATTTCAGGGGAAAAAATCAGGATGAATGAGAATGGATATTCGTTTGACATCAATGTTCTTCCCTTTTCTTCA